ATTCGGGTCTTTGGCTATACTTTCTCTCACAATAACTATGGTGTGGAACGGACAAGCGATGATGTGCAGGCCTAACGATATCCGCAGCCGATTCAATCGCTTCAAGTCCTCCCTTTAAATCACAAAACGTGGCCACGGTTGAATCAGAATTTTTGCGGTCAAATTTGACAGATGTCAAAATGCAGCTCTGTATTTTTGAAACCACAAAATGGAGAACTCTATATAGGTATATAAAAAAATTTAACAGCACCATGGAGACTGATATTTCATGTCAATTTGTATTGTTTTTAATAATTTCACCCTCTTAGCTATGATAATGCGGTGCTGTGTACTGCTGTGTATGTCTGCAAAGTTTACACGTGCATCGCATTGGCAATGAGTTGAGTTGGTGGGCAAATGGAAGCTTACATAAAATTCTTGGCTTAAAAATAATTCCTTGTAGCTGAAATGATGGGATGCATTATGAAATGCACTAATTTTACATTACGCTAATGAAAATTCAAATTTGAACCATTTTTTGAATATATTGAGTTTTTATATCAGTCTCGGTTTAACGTATTAAAATATTTATATGTATTCAGATAAGCTTAACAGCTACAGATGTGTATCTATTTTAGAATATTTAAGATAAAAACAAGGTGTTATGCAGTCAAAGTGAGAATGAATTGAGTTTAAGAGTGGTTAGCAGACTTCGAGTAAATTTCAAAAAAGTAAACACAAATGCTCACAATAACTTGTAACAGCCATGTGACGTACGTAGTTTTAAGCATCAGGACCCAGTGAAAGGAAGTGAAGAGACCCACAATTCTCCGTTTAAGGGACACCAATACGTGAGACACCTAACCAATACTAACTTTGAGTTTTTCGAAAACTCGTACAACTCGAATAGCTCATCCTTCCATTGTGTGTGGAATTCGCCGTTGGTAATGCGCAAAGAGCCATATTCGTTTACAAAACTTTTCTTAGATAGACTCTCAGGGTCGCCTCAGCAGATGTCGACGTCGTCCACGCTTCTGCACCAAATAGTACAACAGGAAGGGTATGATGAGCGACTTGTAGAATTTGGTTCATCGAGAGAGAAGAGTGGTCTCATATACATCTGCAGATATGTTATTTATAAGAAATACGAGCTATGACAATTAAGTCATGACACTGATTATATATCCACGATCATAGTAACCCTGCGACCTTTAAATCTTATCCTTTCCCCTTTTCCCGGCATCCTTCTTCTCTCTCATTGATAAATTTGTCATCGCTCTAGCTTGTTTAGTTCGCCTGCTGTGTCGTGTTGAGAGAACGTGTGCTCGTGGTGCTAGCCACGAAAATGGAAAAACGAAATCAACAGCAATTGTTCGCGATAAAATTTTTCGCCAAATTGGGCAAAAAAGTTTCGGAAACGTACGCTAAAATTGTAAAAAATGCATTGTAATAGTGCTCTTGGTCGTGCCCAGTTGTTTCGATGGCATAAAGATATAAAGAAGATGCGTAAAAACGGAGCACATGTTGAAGATCGACATTTAGCAGTTCGATTCTCGGCGTCAGGACTGGGTATGAACCGTGAAACACTCAGACAAGTTTTATCCACACCGCCCTCAGCGTGTCACAGTACTTGGCCTCTAAAGAGATCGCCATGTTGCAACAACAGGCTTATTCGCCCGATATGCCACCCTGTAACCTTTTTTATGTTCCCTGGAACAAAATTTGGTGGTCAAAGGAATCCATTTTAAATCTATTGAGGACATCCAGGCGGTCGTGACGAAGATACTCGCGGACATCCCATCCGAAGCGTTCCAGAAATGTTACGAAGCATGGAAAATCGCGCCGGAGTCGTTGTATAGCTGCAATAGGGGACTACTTAAAAGGAGATAGCAGAGTTGTAGAATGAGTTTGAAATATACGATTTTTATGGATATATGTACGTACGTGAAGACTAGAAAGTTTCCGGAAATTGTGTTTTACTTGATATTCGCGGTTTGGTTCATCATGAATTCCTTCGAACGTGACAGGTTAATAAAGAATATTATTTAAGCGCTTGCGCGAAAGCTTCCGCGATAACCGCTTAGAGTTGTTGGCCAATAATTTCCAGAAACTTTCATGACGTAGTGCGCCATTGAACTGAACTGAAATTGTGATTTTAAGACCAAAAACTTGTTCAATGTGAGAAGTGTTAATAGGCAGAATCTAAATTTGTTTAACAATAAGCCATTTTTTGCAAAAAAAAAACGGATCCTCTTGTTGCTGTAGCCGATGTCCAGAAGTGTCTCAAACAAAGGTGTCTGAAAATATTTCCGCTTCATTTATGTAACTCATTTAAAGTTTGACGAACCATTTACACGCCAAATGAGACGTTCTTAATTATATTATCTTATCTCCGAGATTTCGGAAAATTTTCTCAAATATACTTGTATGCGCATTCGAAAAATTTCAAGAGGATATAATCCCTTAATGCATTCAACAAGCACCTTATGAAAGCACTCAGCCGATTAGATTCCAAAAGGAATTCCTTCCAAGAACTCATGTTTATTATTCAGAGGACACCTGAAGAATAATTGTTGGAATTATGAATTTATGAGTGAAAGCTGCTAAATACCTCAAAAGAGCATAAAGCTGTGTCGCTTTGAAGATATTGATGTGAATGGGGTTTAAAGTTCCAATCTTTATGATTCAAACTTACCTATTTAAAGTACTTCAGAAATAATAAAACTATCGTGTTCTATTTTATGTTTTGAGTATTTCATTTATTTTAAATTCTCTTAATATTAGTATTTTACAATTGGAAAACATATTTAACTTAAATAAATCACAAAATGTACATATTTATTATTAATAAGAAAAATAACATTTAACAATATTTCCTCTATTTCTCCCTTACTATGCTTATATCTAAAATCATAAAAGCACAATAACAGATATTACAATAGCGGCACAAAAACTAACTATCTCGATATTTGTTATTGCGCTTTTAAATAGTTTAAAATAAATCACCATTTATTAAATATGCTTATTAGGTAATTTATACTTAAACATTCTGGCTTACGGTGTTTTTTTAAAGTGAGTGATGCAATATATTTTTTTCACCTTTTTATCTTTTTCGATTTTTCTTATTTAAATTATATATACTATATTAGGATTTATTTTGACGTGATAAATGTAGCTTTATTTGCGTGTGTGTGTTTTACTTAATAGTGTTATTATTTTTAAGATATTCTATTTGTCTTTTCTTACGATATAATTTCAAAGTTACTTTGCCATTCATACTTATTTTTACTTATACTAAATTTACATATAATTAATTATTTATAAATATAATTGCACCAACTGATAAAATTATTTGCCATACATACGATTTAGGTAGCCAAATTTTTCTTATTATTTCACATTACATTCCCATCAGTTAACATTAGTAGAGTGTGTCTTCTTTTTGTTTTTATTTTTTAGTTCTTTTTTTTTGTTAAAGTATTTTTTAACAAATGGCAATTTAAAATTTTTTTATTTACAATAAGTTTATTTTGTGAACTTAATTTTAGGTGTGTTAAAGTTTACGCTTAATTTATAGATTATTGAGGTTTGATTAAAATCGAATTTAATTTTCCAAATTGTTTAGCAGCTTTAATTTCAAAAATGTTTAAACCAAATTCTCTACCTGCTCCTTAATATAAAAAGACTTCGAATCAACCCCATTTTAATTTTTCTGAATACATATACTTTTTGAAATTTTAAACTTCTGGTGCAAAATGAATTTATTTCAATTCTATTTCTTATTTTACACTATAAGTACAGTGAATGTGTGTGTTTGTTACCGAATTCAATTTTTTTCTTGGTAAAATGAATCATTAGATAATTTTTGCAATTCTATTCAGTGCAGAGAAAAATAATTTAAGTAAATTTTATTTGTTACATGCAATTTCGGGTAGATTTTAGCAAAAATTTTGACTGTATTTTTCAATGACATTCTTACACTACTTGTTTATGTGATTAACACTAATACAATATTATAATAATTTTTAATAAATAAAATCATAAGAACTCAATTATAAAAAATAATTAAAAACCAAAATCAAATAATTTAAAACAAAATATACTACAACAATAAAAAAATAAAAAATGAACTTAAATCAAATAGAGTAAAAAAATTAATAAAATAAAACGAAATAAAAAAAAAATATGAAATGAAATGAAAAAAATAAAATCAAATAAAATGAAATAAAATAAAATAAAATAAAATAAAATAAAATAAAATAAATAAAATAAAATAAAATAAAATTAAAATAAAATAAAATAAAATAGAATAAAAAAAAATCAAATGAGACAAATTAATACAAAATAAAATATCATTACATAAAATAAATTAAATAAAAATAAAGAAAGAATTAAAACAATATAACAAAATTTAAAATATAGTAAAAAAAATTTTAAAATATTAAATTAAATTTTTTTAAATAAAGTCAAATTAAATTAAAAAGGAAAATAACTGGAATAAAATAAAAATATTTAAAATAAATGAAAATAAAATATAATAAAATGAAATTTCATTAATTAAAGCAAATTATATGGAAAAAATAGAAAATAAAAAAATGATTTGTAACTGAAGCAATGTCCAAAACGTAGTTTCTTTAGAAAAATATATATACTTTCTTTTTTGCTTATTAATAAGTATCTAAGTTATGTGATTCATATAGATATATAGTTAGAACTGATTATTAGTTGTTTTTTTCATATGTATACATATTTTTAATGCTAGCTTACCTGAATGATTTTAATTGCGAAAAAATTATTATTTTTCTGGTTGCAATCGAGTTCCGACGAAAAATTCAAAATTTATGTAAAGCACTTTCGACATGAGTCTATAAAAAATTCAGAACTCAAGTTTTAGCTTAAATAATTAAAATTATTAAAAAGTCTTATTTTATTTATGTATAAATAAATATATACAAATATTTGGTTTGGTATTTGAAATAAATTAATATTATAACTAAATAGTTGCACATCACTTTTATGTAAATTATTTTACATTTTATTCTAACTTTATAATATAACTTTTTGCGAGCAAAGCTCTTTTGTTGGTGATTTTCATTCCACTTTTACTTCTGTTATGAGTTTATAATTTTACTTTTAATACTTTTTATTTACATCATAATTGGTTAAATCTAACTAACTAATGTGATATAGTAGACGCAGTTATGGTGACTGTCTTCAAAGCTTGACTTATTTGACACACTCTCACAGTTGCTGTTGTTTTTGGTGCGGCCAATTCCATTTGCTGTCTCTGGTAGATGCCCAGTTGTTTTTGTTGGTTGTTTATGTTTACGCTATTGCAAGCAGATCATAAGGAAAACAATGCGCTGTTGACCAGGAAACATATCGCGAATAATATGGAAATAATTTGTAGTGTGTTGTGATGGGGTGTTACTGCGAAAGAAAGAGTATGAGAAAAAAATACTTATTAATGGCTTTAAAAGACTTATATCAGAACTTTATTCATATATGTTTTTTATCATTTTAGATATTTGTACCAAACTAATATACAGGCGTTCATGTTTTCTGAGTAAAGGACGGATGTGTACCTCATCAGAACTGAAATGACACGATCGCTATATAATTCCGATCTGATTTATGATAATTCAAAGTGAGTTGCTTAAGGTTTCAGAAAATTTTTGTTAGATAATTGACATGAAAGTAACATTGGTGTTTATTGCGATTTTGTATTACAGCTCCGTCGTTTTCAGGAGGACTTCTCTTTGGGTATATAACTATTTTCTAAGGCGACCCGATTACAGAAGTATTGATATGATGCAGTGCATCTTCTAACTATGCAAGAGGCTCACAAGTCATCTACAAACTTTCCTATTATATGCTTGGGGAGCTGCCAGTTTGAGAGACACAATCACCAAGCACTACCTCTGACGGTCACGAGGCAAACAATAAAAAATTACGGTGCTAAAGCGGACTCCGTGGTTAATATTTCCGATTTATATTTCTGCTTTTCTTACGAAATAGCAGTGTAGATATAAGAAAAAAGCTACACAAAATAAAATTTAAAAATTTGTAAGTGGATAATTTCGTGTCTACATGGAGCATATTTCTAACGACAATCTCAGTTCTGAAATTCAATGAAGGCTTACCACTACTAGAAGGTGCTAACTTTGGACTAGATATACAACAAAAAAGTTCAATCCTCTTTGGACGAGCTAGAATTGAACTCTACAAGTTGCTCGTTATACACATCTTGCAATATGTTGCAGAAGCGTGAAAGGTGTTGACATCCGGTGAGCCGATCTTAAAAGTTCTCAAGCCATTTTGGAGTTAGGCAATTTATTATATTTCCCAGAAATGTATGAACTCACGATTTATAGTATTAACTTTGTACCAAGCCGCCTCCAAATGGCCGACTAATTTTTATGAAGAGATTCAATTTTTATGTCATGTCATACACACTTGTAGGGCTTGACATTTCCTGCCGCAATTAAAAAAATTTGTTTTATCTAGTTTTCGACATTGTCCGAACCAGGACTCCTTAAAATAGCAGAACGCAATGCGAACCACTCGATTGTTATGACCGCCGACCAAGTTCAACAAATTAAGAGACAGTGGCCCCACTGGCGGTTGGATGAAAGCACCCAAGTTTTGAAAATCTGTCGCTGGAAGCAAAGGAACAAGAAAACCTTCAACCCATTAGAACGATAAGATGGAGATTAACCGCGTTTATTTGGTTCATCAGCGCCAAACAGATAGGAAAAGAAACGAAAGTTGCGCTATTATTGGTTCGGCTCTAATTGCGTAGGTGTAAATTGGCATCTGGAAGTGTGAAAGTCGAGCTTAACCTTGTACGGGCATTATAAGCTTTGTTTGGAATTGAGTAAGTAATAGAATGTGGTTCATTATAAGAACAAAAAAAAAATAGCCTTTCGAGTGAGTCGCTTTAAGCTTTCATGTAATTTGTGTTAAGTATAGCTTGGCATTTCAGCATGGAAAGACTTAAGCCTGAGTAACATTTCCAAGCGTTCTGTAAAAAATTTCTTTCGAGGGCTTCGCTCAAATTATTGTCTACATAATCAGCCCACTGTGCGTGCTATTCGCAAAATCAAGATCCTTCTTTAGACCCAGCAATCATTATTTGATAAAGTTCTACCGAGTAGACCACGTCTAGCTCGCAGTGAAAAAAATATAGAAGCTGTAGCTGAGAGTGTACACGGAGACCGAGGAGATTCGATTCGACACCGTTCGCAATAACTCGGCCTGACATATGGAACGACTTGGCGCATTTTACGCTGAAATTGTAAATGGTAAGCATACCAAATACAGCTTGTGCAATAACTGAAGCAACTTCGCTTCGCTCTATGGTCTCTTGAACAGTTCCAAAAAGATCCAATGTTTTTGAGCCAAATTTTGTTCAACGACTAAGCCCATTTCTGGTTCAATGGGTGTTTAAGCGTCTGCTTAAACAGCGATCTAAAACTAAATAAATGTAACTGCCGTGCGCGTGGAATTGCCCGTCTCTTCCCACTATTTCCGTGTGCCCCATCACGCGCCAATTCCTCTATCCTTTTTGGCCAAATTTCGTTAGCCGATCGACCGCTTAGCGGCGGCCGTTCGAGCTAACGAAAAAACACTCTAAGCCTAACAACCCTCGCTCGCGCACGGCAGCCTTCAACCGCGGTCTCTTACATTAAATAATTTAGCAAAAATAGTTTAAATTAAATACTTTGCAAAAGTAGATTAAGTTGTGAAAAATAAATTAAGTGAATTTTTTTTATTAAAGTTTGTGAACCATTTTAAATTGAAAAAAAAGTGTTTTTTTTTTTATTAAAACTGTGGGCCCGCTCGACAGCCGGCATCCCCTTATTTACCCTCAAGTCCTTGTGGACTTGAACAATGGGTATGGAAAAAATCAAAACTGCCACATTTGGAACGGAAAGCAATCTGGAGAGATTCAAGAATGGACTCATCGGTACATATTTATTCAAAATATATGCCAGTGAGAACTTAACCGTCAATAGTGACCTCATGATAACTGACTACCTATTGCCTGAGATTGAAGCTTATGATCGTGGCGGCATTTCCCTCACTTTGCACCAATCGATGGTGTAGGTGAGATAACACTTCGGTGAGCAGATAATTTCCCCTTTTGGGCGAATCGATCGTGTAATATGACATCGCTAGACTTTTTCCTGTGGGGATAGTTCCAGTATAAATGTTCGAACGAGTTCGAATGGATGGACCATCTGAAATGTAGCCACAGCTTATATTTGAAAGAGTTAATCTTCAAAAAAATGATAAAGAATGTTCTTTTGTATGATAATATATATTCTCCATAAAATTTGGATTTTTCAAAATCTCACATAATTATCGTTAAACAAAATTTGATTTGGCCACAATATCACATATTTTTTGCGATATAATATTTTTAGAGCACTGGCTTCAATTAACACTACTAACAAACCACTTAATTTTGCAGCATACTCTTATTAAAAAAGAATACATTTAAGATTTTTTAAACTCTTTTACTGCTTGCATACACCTCGACAAACATTATTATTACCTTATATGTAATAATATTGCATTTTTCATCGCCCTTTGACATCACTTTCACCTTTTATCTGAAATGACAAAATCCATAAAACCACTTACCATTCGCTGCACCGCTCACGCCGCTACCCGCGTGTATCAGCATCTGATTGTTCAAATTGTCATAATGTGTGATTGCTGCATTCAGTGAGGTTTCACGCTTCAGTTCCGGGAAATTTTCAATTTCCGCCACACATTTCAACTCCAGATTCTTGCCAGCGTGATAAAAGCGTGGTCCGCTCAAATAGAAGCGTACCTGAAGCTTTTGCCGCCGTAAAATATAATCGTGCGCCGGAATGCTGGTGTCAATGCTGGGCTGCAGTTCACCGAGTGAAGCCTTTAAGCGACAAGAACGAGCGAGTTGTATATATATATATATTTATATATATATGTAAGATAATATAATGAGATGATTGTATATAAAAGAAGAATGAGAGAAGAATAAAAATTTGAAATATTTGTAGTTGCAACATAAAGATTGCATTGTGAGAATAAATTGAAATCAGTAATGTAACACATCGAAAGCAGCAAATTAGTTGTAATATCTCTTTTGTTATTAAATTGAAAAATCCTTAAACACTTCATTCACTCTCCCACACACACACACACATACACATACTCTTCTCGCCAACTTACCTGTTCACCATTGATGTACCATGTCAGTCGTGTCGGCAAACTGGAGTAGTCTGAGCTACAAGTGGCGCTGAGCAGCTCCTCCATGCGATACATTGAATTGAAACTTTCGATCAGCGGGTCACTCTGAGGCAGCGCTGTACGTTCGGATGAAGAAAAGAGGAGAGAAATGTAATGAAAAAATTGAACATGACGGTTATTGCAGCGAGTAGTGCAAGTAGTGCGTGCACAAGTGGTAAGCACACACAAATGAATCTAAGAATTCTGTGAGCGGGAAAAAATGTGGCACCGTGACTTCGGTAACTTCAATGTTTGCTGATTTTTCGTGCTGATTTTGCTAGTTAGAATTTTTCCAATCGTTAGATGCTCTTACATTTTTTTCCGCTACGTGTGTGCTTAGCGTGTACTTAAATACGTCTGTATGCTCATGTAGTATACATATACACATTCATATATGCATAGGTATGGGCGTATGCTCACCTGCTACAGTCATATTATCCGCCTTTGCCGCCAATTTGAAATGTGGCGCATCGCCAGATACCTCACATTTATACGTTCCGGTGGATTTGGCGCCGATTAAGCTCAAATCTACGCGACACGTCGATTCGTTGCAGAAATATTTTCCATCTTGCACTTGTATGCCGACAACGGGAAATTTCATGTACACCGGATGCATCATCGGTGAGTATCTGGAATTAGTAAAGGATATGGTTAGCGGTTGTCTGAGAAAAATCTAACGGAACTAAATGCTGCCGTATGCCTTTAAGAAATAGTATATAATTCAATCTACATAGAAAGATTGGGGTTTGACGAAGAAATAGTGTTTTGTGATAAGGGGAGAGGGTTATCTGTTGCAAAGTAGAAAAATAAAAATGCTCGTTAACTCGATTTTAAGACGATAAATATTGTTGTTATTTTTATTAATATTTTATTCGGCAATCTGGTATCTCACATACTAACTTAGAGGGCTCTATATATATGGAGCCAGTTCACAATAGACAAATTTTGAAATTTGTAACCTTGCCAAGTATAAACGTTGAAAGAAAGCTGCAAGCGAAGGTTCCTTGTGGTCACGATATTAGTTAAGTAGGTTGGTGTGGCTATTAATATAAGTCTAAGTAAGCACATTGTGATATCACGACAATTTTTTGATCTTAACAGACAGTTTTTCAAGCACTTGGCTTCATCAGTTAAGACGAAAAACTACACCAAAATTGAAAGGCGTGCATTTTCTTAGCGCTAAGCAGAGGCATAAAAGGTGAAAAACTGCCTTATCTTAAAGGAACACTCAACTATTTTTCACGATAACTTATTAAGCAGTATTTAGTCAGGAGCTAAATGATCTTGAAAAATTCTTGTCTAATAAGAGAGTATAGTCGTCGTGATCCCTTTTAATTTCTTAACAGCTTTCAGCTTACAATTGGAAAGCAAAATAACTTATTTACTCTTCCCAAAAAATATCAGACAGTGCCAATTCAATTTGGGGCAAAGTAGTTGCCGCGTAAGGCGTCAAGGTTCTTTTGCAAAGAGGTCCTTGACATCAAGTTTTGAAACTTCTTAATCCCTCTTAACAGCGAAGCTAAGGCGCGTTATAGATAGCACCAAACATAAACAGAAAGGGTGTTCCCACGTCTCACGCATCCCTGCTGCCCTTCACTTTCTGCATGTGTCATTGCTACGCCCATACTGCTGACATGGGATGTCAATCGATTGAGCCTGTCTTCTGACATATAGATATCCTCCAAATATGTCTAGATCGCGTAAGCAAAAGGTGAAAAAGCTGTTTTTTGCTACAGTGTAATCTTTCTTGCCGTTAAGACCTTAGTCGCCAGAATGATGTGGCTCTTGACAATCTCATCAAATATTCCGTTTCCTAAAATAACTCATATCCGAACAATTCCCCCGTAAGGTAGTTTTACCTTGTATTGCTCCGATCTAGCCGGTTCGGAGGAGTTTTCCAATACTGCGTTCCAAGTTTGCATAATATATTTAAAAAGAGCTTAGTTTGCGCTCAAGCAGACGGACAGCCCGACAGATTTGGCTAAATAAACTCAACTCGCCCTTCTGATCCCTTCGGTAAACAAATTGAGTCTCTCTCCTCTCCTTCCAGTATTTACATACTTCGGACCAAATTTAATATACCATTTGATGCTCAAGAAGGGTATAAGTATAGCCAAGAAATTCAAAGAGGGTTCATACATTCTGAAGAGCTTTCGCCTACTACCAACTACGAAAAAATTCCAAAATGTTTTATTTTTAAATCAAAAAGCAAATATATACATCAACACCTTCAAAAATTGATTCTCAACCAAGAGCAAGACAATTTAAATAAAATATAATATATAATAAATGTAATTAAAAATATAAATAAATATACACAAACAAATATTTTCGTACTTATAAATCATTGCGGTGTACCCCTCTTAAACAAACATCTCAAATTTCACATGCCAAAAAAGCCAATGATTAAGCTTATACGAATTAATAAATTTACATACATACTCACACAAATATTAAGTAAGAGTCGATTCCATTAATAATAATTTTCACCACCACGTCTCATATCTATGTATGTATATATCCATATATATATAAAATGATTTGACCTGAGTTATGGATCAACCCAAAGCCTAAGCCGCTGACCGTAGAGACCATAAACTTGGTGGGTACGTTCTGCATATGAAGTATACACCTGATAAGAAAGATCTTCCGTGAAACGGGCCAGGGATCGAAATATTCGAAAAAATCTAATTTGCTTTAAAATCGTTTGACATGAATGAAATTTTATGCACATATAAATCTTTGTCTAAAATGACATTTCGTATATTTTTTCTCGCAGAAACTGGCCCTGGAGCTGATTCGATGGTTCAGTATTACTTAATATGGAAAAATTATTTATGTGGCTCATTGCCAGGATCAATATGTGGAGATTCCTTCCAGAAAAATTGTACTCATAGCTCAATCTCCTTTATATCTGAAACATGGATATCTCTTTGCCTATACTGAACTTTGGAAATTTTGGCTTTCTTTTTAATAAAAATAAAAACATCTTAAAAACCTGAGTAAAGTCTTATTAGAACCATTTTAGAATTCCATGCGGACGAAGTTACCAGTAACCTCTAGTATTTATAAGTATGAATCGCTTAAGTGAACCTTGATGTTTCTCCAACAAATGGAGGACCTACAGTTTATACTAATTCCATTTTTAGCTGCCCCAAATGGCTGATGGATTTTTATAAAGAGCTTTTATTTAAAGTCAGAAATGCACTCGGAGGAGGCGACCGCGATTAGTAAAATTAACTTAATTTAACTGAGTTAATTTTCGGACCAATATTAGAACCCTGACCCATCGAACAATGCCACTCGGCTATCGCGGCCGCCGTCTCAAATGCTTCAAAAAGCACATAATCTCAATGTTGGATACTTCATCACGATAGCCGAGTGACTAGAAGTTTTCACTCTAGAGTGTTATATGTTTGGTTTGAATTTCACAGCCAAACTCATTTTTCTATTTATTTTTGGTAAAGTCAAAATTCAAAACACATCTGACGGCTTATGCTAAACAGACCGGTCACTAAGTTGGGAAATAAAATTAAAGAAGAACTTAAGATTTTATTAAATATATAGTGCTTCTTCTTGCTCTCACACTAAGCTTTGGACTCAAATACTTGTAATCACAACAAAACAAATAATCAATAGCCAAACCAGAAAAAAATTCAGCGACTATGATGACACAGCCTATTTTATGAAAGCGTTTCGTAAATTCCTGCGCCATTACTGACGTTTGAGCCTTAAAAATAGGCGGAGGTTTGGTTTTTCCCATAGAATTGGCTCAGCGTTTAATTTCTTTCGTAAGTTAGGTTGGTAGTAGAGAATTTAATAAATCAATTTGAAATGAACTACTTTATTGGTCAACATTATAATATTTTCTAAAGCAATCTGAATTTACTAGCCAGCTTCCAGCAAAATTTATTCTTCTTTGACTACATATCCCTCTTTCATTCAGGTAGTATGGATAGGAAATAAGTAAAATGGCTGGTTGGGGATAAATACTAGTAGTATCCAACAAGTTTGTCTTTTGAAAATAATAGTTTATTATTTATATTTTTGCGTCGTTTAATATTGGTTAAAATCTGGTTCATTTGGGCACGTTGAATTTCCATAATTTTAAAAATAAAAAAAATTATATTAAAATTTTTTTTATTTATAATCAAGACATGAACCATGAACCTTACACCAGCTAAAATCGCTAACCATTGGGTTATCGTGCCGACGTAACGAGCAGTGATATACAGCGAACATCAACAGTGCATAACAGAAAATAAATAATAAATAACATATCAGTGGCATGCTAGAAATTAACATAACATAGCAGAGGCCTGTAATGGATATTTTTAAAAGTTTCGTTACTGGGAAACTAATACTGTACTGATATGATTTCAGTTTTAAGCTCCTAGTGTTTAAGTCACAGTGGCGGTGTGGTTAGTATTGCGTTCTGTCATAATGAAAAATTAATCTAAATGAAAATTTAAGTTAAATTTTCTAATTGCGGTCATTCTCGGCAGGGAATGTCAACCCCTTCGAGTGTATTTCTGACATGAAAAAAATTAACCGCGTTTCAGAGGCAGCTTAGTATAAACCTTATAACCTTTTATACATAGCTGTTTCGGTTCTCACTTCTGTCTGAATACTTGTGTATATAAATTATATATATATATATATAAGATAAATAAGACACAAATACATTTGCTCTGCTCATAGATTTATTGAAGCTCGTATGACAATTTGATTTGCATTCCTCCAAATTACTAATTAGAAATGTATGGAACAATATACATTGGTGGTTTCGTAGCTGTGGTAGAGCATATATGTATATGATATGTTGCATACTCGTCTAATTAAATCGGAATCCATATAACAGTTAATGAAAGTGAATAACATCAAATTCGAGGTTCCAGTGAAGTTCAAACCCAGCTTTCATTGGAATGACAAACAATTTAATATTAAAACATAGATTAGTTAAGCTGCAGATGAATTAATATAAAGGATTTGAAGCTACGTAAATACTTTGAAGCTAAAAGATAAATTGGAATATATGGTATAATTATATTTGTTGTAATAATGTCTCAAAAAGAACAGGAACAGATAATTTCATTTATTCCATATTACTTTAGTCGCCTCAGGGTGAGCAAAGAAGGTACCTTCGGCTCAACTGTCGAAAAATTCACCAGTTTATACAAATATTATATTTTCTGGCTAAAATATTAAAAGCTTCAAATATTTCAAACTAGTGTCAGTTTTAAAATTTTAAATTAATAAACATTTGTGACCCCAATCTGGGAATCACCAACTCATACATCAATCTCTGCTGAAGGGCGACAGAAATTAAATCTTTTTTCTATAATTTTGTCTTTGCAGCCAAGATATTAGAAAGAGAGAGAAATTAGTTGTCAAAAATATCGTCAAACGACATTTAGTAATTTTTTTTTTACAGTTTTATAGTTCTAAAAGATCTTTGGTCATGAAAAAATTCGTAAACTCATAACTGAGAAAAATGTATGAAGCATTTATTTGAGTAGATTGAATAATCGATATAATTTAAAATTTAAAAATATTTTCATGTTTCATAGGCCGGTTTCGCCATATTCTCTACAAAATATTGGCCGGTATTTCACTAATAAATTTATCTTCCAGTGCGTCAGTCGGTGCAAACTTGTCGGTATAGACATCAAATAGCTTACCAAGAAATAATCCAGAGGCGTAAGCTCACACTACATAGGCGGCCAATCGGTCGTCACAAACGAGAAGTGAACTACTTACCGAATCCGCCTCTTCATTGAGCCATTGTTGTGAAAAGTGAATCCAAAAGTTAGCTGTTGTAGTAGATCGTTAGTCTTAAATTTTTGTAGCGGCTGTATTTTAAAAGTTTTTACAGCGAAATCCTTCCGCAAAATATCCACATATAGACTGAGAACGACACTCAATTGCTAATTAACTGACCATAAAATAAAGGAAGTGCATGATACACTTTCTTAAGGAGTTGCATCTCATTAAAATTTTCAAAAAATCGATTTCATTGCCGTAATGTGCATATATTCAATTAAATACTGTGAAAATTGCAAGTCGATCTGACTGTTATTTTGGAAGTTACACGCATATATATAACGATGCGTTTGAGCATTGGAAAGCGGTGGGCCGTGGTTTTGAGACTTGAATCTCGTTTTTCGCAAAACTATGTTTTTCAAGTCGGTGACCATGATTTTTCGGAACGGCTAGGCCGATTACCAAAGAACCTTTTTTAATAAGCAATTCAAAACCAAAATTATGGAGAACCATTGAAATATTTTTTAATTCGAATAATGGCTATAATATAGATCAAAGTGATTGATATGAAGTGAAGCCAAATATTCATCCACCTGTTTAACTGAAGTTACTGTAGTTATCTTCCTCTGCTGCAGCCGGAGTTATTGTCGGCACTTCATTCATTTCAAGTTGTGAATGCATTGACTGTTTAATTGATGCCAAACAATTTTCGTCTTGTATTTTTTTATTGTCGGTTTCACTCGTCTCCCTTTTATATTATATTTAAATTGGAGAAATGAGGCCATTGGTTTAGATTGAGATCAACACAATATTTATGGCATCTCCTACACACATCTGAGAGCTGTACATTTGGGAACAGCTGAGAGCTTTGCTCTTCTTGCTCTTCTTGTTCTGATAATCGTTTCTGTATTCTTATGTTTATCCAACTTCAAATTTGTTTTATTATTAATAAAGTAAATAATTGCATAAATTCATCGTTGTTTATTTTGTTAACGACTGCCTAATATATGGGACAGTCCGTTTTCTAAGCTCAATGGTCTTTGGATAGCCCGGCCTCATAATAGGAACCCGCAAAGCAAATAACATTTGATATGGCTACCTGAACAACATTTAAAAATTCTATCTTCATTTTCACTCCACAGATATAATTTCTAAGAATTTAAATTTCTAATGCAGATAAAAATAACATTTAGAAGTTCCTCCATTCTTTTGAAGTACAAGCAGAGTGCATAAATCCGTGTGATAAAATTTTCTATCTCTGCTCTATTTTCGTGAGAAGTTGAAGGCACAAAGTGCAATGCGCATCGAGCTATTTCTGGTAAAATTTTTAACAAAATCATAATTGGAATTTTGATTTATTTTCGGTAGCTGTACTTAAACACATACACGGTCATCACTGGACGTTGCTACCGAAATAATCCCTGGATGGGGTAGGTCATATTTACACGGTGCAGTGGAAATTTCCACTTTGTATGCTACAAATGGTTTTCTCAATCAATTCAGCTTAAAAAGCATTAACCTGCATGCACACGCGGTGGAAAGGTGAAATTATTGCTGACGTTAGGGCTTTATGGCAGGCAAAACGAGATTTCTAATTTGACGCAAATAATTTTTTTTCTACCCACAAAAATAGTTGAAAATTGCTTTCACCCATGTGTATGATATGTGCAAATGTATGTGTTTGTAAGAGTATATATGCTATATTTGAAGTTTTGAGTGACGCAAAAAACTACTGTATATATGTACTTGTACGTGTATTTGCACTCTCATAATACGCCAAAATATCTGATTACCAAAATGGCAGGTCGCGTATACGCCGTGGTGTGCTTTAGTATCAGTAAAGACTGTACGGGAATGGTTGATTATGTTGCAGCATTTAATGCGAATTTCTCTTATAGTGATGCATGTATTTTTATGCCCTCGCTTTTTTTATTATTTATATGTTTTTGTATGTTTTTTTACTTATAAGCATATTGATATCTGTATTTATTTGCATACATACGATATGTACGTGTATTTATATTGACCCACCTGAAAAATTCCATTTTATCCTTATACCATTTTACGGAATTCAACGTATGTCCACTCATATCATAACTGCAGGATAACGTGACATTATCGCGAAAATCAACAATTTCCGGCACATTGATGTCAGTAACAAAGAGACAGGAAATTCGATGGAAATCTGAAAGATAATACAATGCATACATAAATGTACATATAAGTAAATAAAAAACTATTTACAATGAAATTTATATAATGAAAAAATTTGCATTGAATGAATGCGCCAATTAAATGATTTGGTATATAAAATTAAACTCGGTAATAAATGGAGCAAATGCATTATTGTACAAAATGGGGAAATAAATAGTGTATTTACTTGTTTAAGGCATACATATATTGGAAAGAGAATTATGTACATTACTGTGATTCAGCCCAATATTGAGGATGTGTGGGAAAATTTTTATCGTATTTTTCGAGTATTTTAAAAGTCTTATAAATTTTTATATGAAATATACATTCGTTAAACATTTTTTTTAATCTATGGCAATACGATTTATCGAATGATATATATATGTGTAAAAAACTAACCACATTAAGCTGAACAAGTTATAGCCGAGACTATATATGTGCCTGAAGTAATTGCCATGGACAAAGAATGAATGTACTTACATGAAATGTTAAATATTTAAGGTATTAAATAATAATAATTGACCTATTTTTATTATAAATAATTTTGATATGAGGGAACGCAGATCTGCTGTTGGATTTGTGATTGGAGAGAGGCTCTATCGCCAAGTTCTGGCATTACGATTACAACAAACAACTGTACGGTTCTCTGCCCGACTTTCATTCCTGCTCTCTGTGCAAAATAATCAGCAGCTCGGAACAAAGAAACTGAAGGCTGTCATTTCAAGATTCCTACAGACATAAGCAAATGAAAATATAAGACTTCAGAAAGGTGAAGGAATGTCGCACTATAGTGGAAAAAACATACTGCGACTCCGCAACACCATGATCGAAGAAAGCGAGACGCCTAGGCAGAGGAAAAAAATAGTCCAGGACGCGTCAGTTTGGAGAGACTGAGAAGCTTACCAACAAAGGTAATGGTCGAAAATTCTACGACGAGATACAGCGACTTGTAGAAGGTCTGAAAATTCAAAATCACGGTTCTTTTAGGACAAAGAGAGGTGATCCAACGTATACTGAATTGTTGGCAGTGAAAATAGAACACCCAGAGAACAATTATCAATGACAGTGCAATAGACTTTACATTGCCAAACTACGACGAGCGTCGAGTAGCGGCTAGCCGCTAAAAAACTAAAAACCGGCCGGAGGTTATGAGCTATTCCAGCAAGGCGGTGAAAAACTGATAAGGTGCATGCACTAGTTACATTGCTAACTATGGTCGGATGAAAGCCTGCCCGACGATTGGAACCTAAGTATGATCTGTACATTCCAAGAAAATAACTCTACCAAAGTTAGCGGCAATAACCTCATTACAATCGCCTGTCAAGCATATTATATGAAAGACCGTCAACTAACTGATTGGACGTTATCGATGTGGCTTAAGCCTGGTGCTCACCATGAAAAGGATCCACACATATCATCTGCTTGAACGTTCCATAGCAGCCGCCTACAACACGAAAGAAGCTTCCCATACGCCGATACATTCGTATTGGGTAGCCTCACAAAACTTATACGGGCTTGTCGGCTGATGTTAAGCAATGCCAAAAGCTCCATCAGGGTCTAAGCTATTCGATTCCAAACTTGTATTCAAACAAGGTAACTCTTTGTTGTGCGATTTCCTTAATTTGATTCTGGGAAAAATAGTAAGAGTTATGGAGCTGAATAGAGAAAATAAAAACTTCTAAAAGAGTGTACAGCTGCTGGCGTGGCCACTCTTCAGTATTGAAATCCAGCGTAGAAACACTCCAGCTGATAGATACTATTGTACTTCCGCCTGAGTAGGAAATTGAAAATGAAAAAACTAAATTAGGAGTTTTCGAGACAAATGATTTGCACAGGATTCATAGTCCTCTGTGAATGGAGAGCGGCCAATACCACAATTGAAGAATGAATAATTCAGCTTTGAAAGTTTTCTATGCAGTGCCCACCGGCAGAAGCAGAGTAAGACGAAAACCTTAGCTCCGTTGAAAATACAAGATGGAGAAGCAGCTGGATGGACTTGGTATTTCCAATTGACGCCAAAACAACAGCAAGGAATAAGAAGAAGGAATTCATTTAATTTTGTTTTGTAATGAAAAAACTAACGGTACACAATTTGTACAATTTTCATATATTTATTTATTATAAAAATTATTTAAAAGTTTTTAATAAAGTCACAGACCAGGTATAGCTCTTATAACCTGTACATTGGCGTGCAAATTAATTTTTGTGAAAATCGTTTAATTATTACGTGTACGAAAATCTTTCTTTTATCTTAGAAAATATTCCGGTCATAAACAGGCAAGATCATCATACTGTATGTACACTTTCCATATTGTACCAGGTACTATTGTTTCTATGGCTTTCTGTATGTATGTGTATGTTTTCACCCCAGGATAACGAATGCCTCATATGACAAGTTGCACTTATGCTCATCGTTTCGTTTTAAACGAAATATTCGTAAAGCTTTGCAGCTGTTGTGTGCATATACGTAAACCTACTACTTTTAGAATATTTATATTCAATTTTAAAAATATTGAAATTTTCACTGAAACTCAAGTACACGCAATTTGTAGGTAAATTTAAAATTTCTGCTTACCCTTATGTTAACCAGCTTATAACAACAACACAGTCCGGCAGAGTATAAAAACTATTATGCGCTTAAAGCTACCGAACAACATATGAACTCTAAGCAGCAGGAGGGTTTAGTTTTTCCCAAGTATCGTATTTTTTTAGCTCATGTTGGTTTGCTTTCGATTCGAATTAAAAAAATTGTTTCTGATCTCCATTTTCCTTTTTGAATAGTACTTTAAAATATTCTTAATATCGTTTACTATTTACTGTAAACTAAATACTTCACATACATACCGTACGATTACTCAACTCGAGCCTATGGTATACTCGTACGTATGTCTGCAGTCTAAGCACATACAATAGGTGAGTGTGTGCATTTCGCATATCAACGCTTGTCAAATGCAAATACACTTTCAATTTATATGTAAGAAAATAAAATTGTGTACGTGAACTTTTTGAACAAAATAGCACTTACAAAAACAAATGCATTTATATAAATACCTGAAACTTTGTAATGTGTACAGTACGTGCCAGCAGAATACGTGGACATGGTCACATGCATACATATTGGTGTATTGTGTGTTTAGTGAAAAGCCTTCTCAGGTGTTGTAAAGTTTTGCAAAAGCAAATAAATGGTGTAAAATCAATTTGCATTTTTTCCTGTACACAATACGAGTATATTACATGAAATGCATTTAACTTACTTATAGTGTGTGTCCAATATTTGGGGTTTCAGTAAATATGTAAATGTATTGGTTTATTGAATTTAAGTTTATTCTCGAATATATTTGAAGCTTATGGCTTTCGGATTAAAAGAGTATGAGAAAACATCTCTTGCTGCCATTTTTATTTATATATATATATATATATATATATATATATATATATATATAAAGAGTTTATCTAAGTTAATTTAAAAAATAATTAATATTTTAGAAGAAAAGTGCATACAATTTATGGATATATTCCAATAATTCAGTTACGTATAATATTATAATTATTAATAATTATGGTTTGCAGTTTCTTTACTTCGTTCGTATAGAATTTTATGATGTTTTTTTTAAAGATTTTTATTGTGTTTCTACATAAAAATATAATATTAAGCAAAGCTAGAGCCTAAGGAGAAGTAAAAATTTTTCCAACAGATCGAATCTAAGTCTATGGTAATAAATGATAATTTAAGCAGTATGTATTATAGATGTACTCGTATGTATTATAGATTAAAACGGGCCACGAAAAATTATCAATCATCTCTCAATAGCGCACTCTATTCACCGTAACTATTGGTCCAGTCTCATATTCGAAAAAGTAATGTCCAATAACGGCCTACCGGCAGAACTAATCAAACATGGCGGTGAAGAGCTGACAAGGTGAATGCATCAGCTACTTTGCAGAATATGGTCGGACGAAAACATGCCCGACGATTGGAATTTAAGTGTGCTCTGCCCGATCTATAAAAAAGGGACCCCACAGTCTGTGCCAATTATCGTGGAATAAGCCTTCTTAGTATCGCCTATAATAGAGAAGGTACAATCTTCTATAAGAGTGTACAACTACTGGCGTACGCCGATGATATTGACATTATCGGCGTCAACAACCGCGCCGTTAGTTCTGCTTTGTCCAGGCTTAATGAAGAAGCTATGCGTATGGGTCTGGTAGTGAACGAGGACAAGACGAAATATCTCTTGTCATCAAACTTACAGTCTTCGCATTCGCGACTTGGCCTCCACGTCAATGTTGACAGTCATAATTTTGTAGTCGTAGATAGTATCGTCCACCTAGGAACCACATCATAACCAACAATAACGTCAGCCTTGAAATCCAACGCAGAATCACTCTTGCCAACTGGTGCTACTTTGGACTGAGTAGGCAATTGAAAGTAAAGTCCTCGACGAACGAAAACCAAACTCTACAATTCCCTCATCGTTCCTGTCCTGCTATATGGGGCGGAAGCATGGACGATTACAACATCTGATGAGTCGGCGTTAGGAGTTTTCGAGAGAAAGGTTTTGTGTAAGATTTATGATCCTTTGCGCATTGGCAACGGCGAATATCACAGACGATGAAACAATAAGCTGTACGAGTTTTACGGCGACATTGATAAAGTTCAGCGAATCAAGAAGCAGCGGCTATGCTGGCTAGGTCATGTAGACCGGATGGATGGGAATACTCCATCTTTGAAAGTTTACAATGAAGTACCCGCCGGTGGAAGCAGAGCAAGAGAAAGACCTCCAATCCGTTGGAAAGACCAGCTAGAGAAAGACCTGGCTGTACTTGGTATTTCGAATTGGCACCAAACAGCACAAAAAGAAACGATTGGCGCAATGTTGTTAAATCGGCAAAAATAGCGTAAGTGGTGTCTGTGGCAGTAAAGTAAGTAAGGTGAAGAGGCTTTTCAACAATAATTCTTGATACAGAGGAACGTCATCAGTAAAGCTGATT